TGGGGAGGAGGGACAGCCGCCCACTCCACCCGCCCCCGAGCTGTCATTAACGAGTCCTCTCTCAGGCCTGCCTCCTGCAGCGGCTAAGGAAGGGGAAGGAGAGGGAGGCCCGGGCGGCATCTGGTCCCCAAGGGGTGGGACCGCAGAGTAGGGACAGTCCCCTATCCCACCCCGAGCACCCTAAGCGAGCAGCGCCTGTGTCGGCGGCGCCTGGCCGGACACGGCGCCACCGGGGAGCAGGACAGGGGTCTACTGACTTCGTTCACTGTCCGCACCTCGCTGTGGCGCGCTGGGGCAGTCCCCTCCTGCCCTTCCCGCAGTTCGGCATCCTCTAGCTGAGACCTTCCAGGTGAATATCAGGCCAGGAGTTTTGTTTTCGTCTTGGTGACAGTGAAGGGAAGGGGTCCCGGAATGCCCACCCACCAACCAAAGGAACTGCAGGGGACGCTTTCAGTGCGCAGGAGGTGCCCCGCACGAGTGCAGGCTTAATTTATTAACCTAATCCACCTAACGCAGGGCCAACGTGGGGGGGATCCTGTGTTCCAGGTGAGGGGACCACGGGCCCAGAGAGGGGTTAAGCCGGTGACGACGTAAACAGGACCACACGGCTACTTTCTTCACGACCCTTCGTACAATCTGAAAACTACCCTGTTTGCTTTTACCTTCCCCTCTTCCCCGCCCCCACCCCCCTAACAATCTACCCCTCTCTGCAGACTGCAAACTCCCTGAGAACTGGTCCGTCTTGTTCCAGCGGTATGCTAGCACCTTGCCAGGCCCAGAGTAGGCCTTCAATAACCATTTGTTGTATGAATAAATGGATTAATCTGGGAGGCTGTGGCACCAGGTGACTTCTTGCACTTCATCACTCTGGTTACGATGCTTTACAGCCTGATCCATGGGATTGCACCGGGTAGTAGCGACGGAGTAAAAATCACATGCTCAGAAATTATCGTTAAACTCTATCCTCCGTACTTCTTTTGTGCAGCCATCAATATCTTCTCTTCCACTGACTGTTCAATCTTTAAGGCTCAGAGTAGGGAAGGAAACTGCGTGTGCCCTGGGAGGCTGCGCACTGGACAGGGAGGGAGATGTTTTTAATAAAATCTGTTTTCAAGTAGCCAGTCTTTTCTGATTTAGGTTTCCCACCATAAATAATTTATTAGTGTAGTAGTAGTAAAAATAGCTTGTAAAAACACTGCAGAAGGTCCCAAACAAATGTTAAACACTGTGATCATGCAAACAGCTGAGGCAATGTTGGGTCTGGTCTTTGTTGGAGTGAACTGATATCTGCAAGGAAGCATAATTAGGGGGTGTGATTATTAGAGATGCAGGGTAGTTGCTACAACTCTGTAGAAACCACAGAGGGCCAGAAGTAGATTTGAATTCTAATTCTGCTAGAGCAGCATACTGCCTGCCCTGTCTTGGATGAATAACTTAAACTCATGGGGGCTCATTTACTTAACTGTTGAGAAAAAATGGAGCTGCATGAAAAGAGCATTTCTTGGGTAGCCACTGCTCCTTGAGTGGCTTGAGTGACATCATGTATTCTGGGATGTGACACATGGAGCAGTCACCCCAGTTGCCCCACAGATGTGTTAGCAAGAAATGAATGTTTTTTGTTGAATGCCATTGAGATCTTTTGTGGTCTTTTTGGTATACAGCATTATTATCATTAGCTGACTACGACAAAGGGCTGAGTAGCCAAAATTTGGTGCAACTTTTTTTAACATCTAAAATTCATGCACAAGTGGGAAATCACAGTTTTTTGGTCCTTGACTTTTTGGCTAAGAACTAACTCAGGAAGCCTCAGTATTTGTCTCTAGTCCTTCAGCTTTATCCTTCTCAAAAAAAAAAAAAAAAAAAAAAAGTGGCTGTCTTATCTTAACTCAGGCTTCTTCTGAAGTATGAATAACTGCTTTAGATTTCCACCCACCATTAAAAATCTAACTTGACACTTCTTCAAACACAAGGTTTCTACTAGGAAGCCTTGTAATGCTGGGCCCCTCAAGATAAAGAATGTGCTAGACTGTGTTCAGGACAGTGACCTTCACATCAGATGTTGGCCTGCCTGTGCAGACTGTGGTTGGAAGCCTTATTATAGTGGAGCATTTGAGAGTCACCAAAGACAAAGTGTCAGTGTTGTACAGTAGTTTGCCCTTTTCCGTGGTTTCACTTTCCGCGCTTTACGTCGCCCACAGTCGGGGACGATCACAATGCCCATGTCATTCAGATCCCTTAATCTCATCACTTTATCATCTCACATCATCACAGGAAGGTGAGTACAGAAAGCAAGATATTTTGAGAGAGAGAGAAACACCACATTCATATAACTTTTGTTATAGTATATTGTTATAATTGTTCTGTTTTATTATTGTTGTTAATTTCTTACCGTGCATAATTTATAAATAAAACTTTATTGTAGGTATGTATGTACAAAAAAGCCCCAGTGTATATAGTATTTGGTACCATCCTCAGTTTTAGGCTTCCTCTAGGGGTCTTGGAATGTATCCCCTGAGGGTAAGAGGGAACCACTGTGGCTTTGGGCTGAAGATATAGAGGCAGATGGATACTCAGAGAATTTGGTAAGGCACAGACTTGTTGGGACTCAGTGTGGCCTGATGGTTTGGGCAGTGCAGACAGTGTGGGCACCATGGCTGTGCGTTCACTTAGCTGCCACCTCTCCCCTGGCTTCGTACAACAGATGGCCTGGATTGCATGCTGGGTGTATTAGTCTGTTTGTGTTGCTATAACAGAACACCTGAGACTGGGTAATTTATAAAGAACAAAGGTTTATTTGGCTTACTATTCTGGGACAGCTTCATCTGGTACAGGCCTCAGGCTGCTTCTACTCATGGTGGAAAGCTGCAGGCAGCCGGTGGGTACAAGCAGATCACATGGTGAGAGGAAGCAAGAGAGAGAGAGGGGAGGTGCCAGGGTCTTTGATACAAACAGCTCTCCTGGGAACTAATAGAGTGAGGCCTCATTCAGGACTCCCACCCCCTGGAGAGAGCATTAATCCATTCATGAGAGATCCGCCCCTATGACTTGGAACAGCTTCCAGCACTGCCACATTGGGGATTTGATTGCCACATGAATTTTGGTGGGGACAACACATCCAAACTCTATCACTGGGTATTAGATTTTTCAACGGGGTTGCAGGCTCCTTGATGATAGGGTTGAGTCTTAGCAGTTTAGTTACCACAGTGCCTAGCACAGTGCTTGGTACATGGCAGGCAATCAATCAATAATCCCACAAGTGATGTTGAAGTGACATGGAAGGCTGTTATCCCATGGCTTCACATATTGAAATCTTATTACTTCTAGGGACATAGCAGAGTGAGGGGAGGGAGGGCTGGCAGCACCCAATTGCACCCAATATAGCTGCATTTTCTTGCAATGGTGCCTTACAAGTCAGTGAGGCAAGTAGGGAAGGTAGTCAAAAAGTAGGCTCTTAGTAAAAAATGTTTTAATGTGCTATTCCACTGACGGCAGATGCTAGCCATGTTGAAGACACTGTGCCAAGCAGATTGCAAACATACACTGTGTAGCACTCCTCACAAACCTTGAGCTAGGAACTGTTATTCTCATTTTCCAGATGTGAAAACTTAGGCTCAGAAAAGTCAAATAGCCTGTCTAAGATCACCCAGCAAGTATGCGGTAGAACTCAAACTCGTGCCCAGGTCTATCTCCAATCCTTACTGCAGCAAGATTGATTGGGTTCAAATCATGGTTCCCCATGTAAAAAGCTGGGTGATCTTGGGCAAGTCACTTAACTTCCCTGTGCCACATTTTTTTCATTTGTAAAATGGGAATAATAATAGTACCTATGCCAAAGGGTATGGTGGGGATTAATTGAGATAATATGTGTGAAGTGCTTCTAACAGAGCCAACACCCGTGGTAGTTACTGTTATAATCTCTATGCAGAGTTTGCAGCTTCAACTTTTACTTGGTTAAGTCCATGTCCATCTTGCCAATCAAATTATATGTGTTGAGGGCATGGGCACTTAGCTAATTTCCCCACACGGAAAAGTGGGACTATTGGAGAAGTATAATGAAATGATAGCTCGCATGTTTTCAGTTACTATTAATTGTGCCTGAACTATGGAAATGGACTTTATTCTGTAGGAAATGTAGAAGATTACATTTTCAAAGGTACACACAGCACAAATTTAACCTGTCTCCTTC